CTCGAATCACATTTATCTCGTCCACGTATAGTTTCGGCTGTTGACTTTCAAAAGTATGTAGCGTATGAAGTAACTCATAAAGATAGCGTTCTTCAGCTTCTTTTCTTTGTGCTATTCCACATGAAATACTAATTGCCTGATACTTTACTCTTTCTTTGAACCTTTCCCATTGAGCGAAAATTGGCGGCCGTCAACACTGTGCTTCCTCTCATACCGATTCGTTTACCATTTTAAAGAAACAACCTTCGCGCAACAACTGTACGTTAAGCTTCCATAGATCCCAGTTTAGAGGGGTTTTCCGAAAATTTTCAGGACCCCAAGAAACAGTGACCAAGCAATGGTCTGTAAAGATATGGGCTTTACAGCAAATTTATGAATATGAGACAATAAGCTTAGAGATACATTACACGGTCAATCCGAGCATGAGAGATGCCGTGAAAGTGCGCGAACCTCACCGAGGAAGGTGCATGCGTTCCCACATCTATTAAATTGTGGTCATTCAATAATTTCTGCAGTAAGGTTGCACTTGCATCATAACGATTTCTTATATATTAATGATCTGTCATGTCACAAACACAATTAAAGTGTCGAAATACTATCAAAGTTCTGTCAGTGTTTAGCAGCGAAGTTAAAGAGAGAAAAAAAGCATTCATTCACTTAGCAGAAAGCATAGACACAGATAAGCCTCTAATTATGGGAATGGAAAGATAACTCACAACAAATGACGCGTCCTTCCCCATCAGCATGTAGTGACGTCAAAGTATGATTCAAGTGCTTTCTAACTAATAAAAAGCATCCAGCGGATGCACCACGTGCTGGGCTGATGTAAAACTTGTAATCTCGGAAAACTTCCAGTGCAAGATTGGTGTCACGAGCAGCCGAAATCTTAGTCTCTTGCACTGCAAGTACATTAATGTTATACTGCTCAAGCACGTGGCACAACTGCCACTGACGCCTTACATTCCTCAAGCCACGTACGTTGAGTGTCGCTAAACACAATGGAAACGTTAGCACGGTAGCCATTGCACTATCTTAAAACTTTTGTAGGTCACCTTTGACCACAAGGGCAACCTGTGGCTTTACCTCCTTTGCAATTTTTAGGAGCACTTTCCTGAGGACGCTGGCATAGGCGGCGCGTCGCTCGGTCTCCAAAGAAGGTGACACGTGGGCCACATGAAGACACTTGCTCTGTCATGTTTGGCGCACTCTTTGTTGCTTCATCGGTAACCGGTGCCTGATGCTTCCTTGTCTGACCGCTATTCATTCCTTCTTGTTTCTCATTGTCAGGAGGCTTGTCTTTAAGGTCTTCCAAGTGGTGTTCTTTTGCAGCATTGCATTCATTTATGCTTTCACTGGTGTCGTTAGCGATGTTATTTTGCGTTCAGCTTCCTCCCACTGCTTCTCCTGTCGCATCAACTACCTCAGTGACGTTCATAAGATGATCCAGATGTTGCTCGTCTGTGCATTGGACAGAACGGAGTTTGTTGACATAAGTCGACACTCAGGCTTCCGACGATTTACCAAATCGCTGGCACTGCAAGCACCTCTGTGTTTTGCACTGTCGACGTACATGCCCCCACTCGCTTGACCCGAAGACACAATGGAGACCTACCGGGAATAAGTACGAGCCATTGGTGGCCATAGATTGACACAAGGTGTGGTATTGAGCCCACAGTGATGGTGTCCTTGAGCTCCAGGGCAACGTCTCTATTTGTTGTCATTCATTGTTCCATTCCCGCACATCTCCATGCCTCTCTCTCAACGGACTTCACAACGCCGTAAGCTAGGAACGCCTCTTCAACACGTCGCGATTCAAGATAAGGCGGAAGCCGAAGATGTTTCAGCCTTGGTTTCCGAATCTAGCACTATGCACTTCAGCCCTTTTACACGGAGATCACCACAAGTGACGAGTTTCTTTTTCGCCATGCTGCTTGCACACGTAACCATTCATACATGGCTCATTTGATACTGGCCAACTCCTATGATGTCGGCTGTGCTAACCATTTTAAGCAGCGCGTCACGGAAGTCTGGGGCACAGTACGGCCTACCACTCAAGTCGGCATAGAGGAAAACGGATTTCAAAATGCCGTTGCCGGTTGGAAGACGTGGCAGGACGACTTTGTAGCTTGAGTCTTCATCATAAAACGGAGTCGATGATCCTCGGCCATTACCCGATACGCTGTTACCAGCAAGAGCATTTTTGAACACAGCCGATCGGTGCGGCTTCTTCGTCTTCCTCTCCTACTTCCGATTACACACTTTCTTCTTCATCATCTTCTTCCAGGCTGTTTGTCGTGACCAATATTTTAACAGAGTATGGTGAATGAGCAACTCTATGAAAGTAAAATATACGCTTACACACGTTGTAAGAACCCGCACCATTATTTCGCATGCCTATACGAAGTTGTGAAATGCTACGTCTTAGGTTCTAGTAGCCGTGTAGGATTCCGCGAGCATTATCCATAGTAGTAGTGAAGAGTAAAGATGCATTCTTGTGGAATACATTCATAATTGTCGTTTGAAAACAAATACGGAAAAGATGGAGCACACTTTGCCTGGAGCAAGCGACGTGTCCCACCAGCTGTGCAACTTAAAATACTTCAAATCGATGAAGTTGTAGACGGGGCACTGACAATTTGAAGTAAAAAATGGCAGATCCCACGTACAGAGGGAATCGATGATATGCGAAGCACGATGGAGAAATGTTAATATGTCACTTTAAAATCAGCACAACGTTACGAGGTGGAAGTAAATGTTGTTGTACATGTGGCACGACGAAATAAACGCCGGCGAGGATGCACACCACGCCACGTCGAAATGTATTCGTGGCCTAATTGTGGCAAGTAGTCATGTTATCACATGACATGCATCTCATGATTATCATGTTTGCACCAGTTACATATCTTCGTCATCTATTGGCGTCACGTAATATCAAATTTGGCACATGTTATGCTAGCGAAATGACCACGAGCGCATAATCAGTATGGCATGTGGTCATGTTGTTACATGACACGCATGTCGTGATTATCATGCTTGGATGTGTCATTTACCTATGTCGTTCATTCGCGAGGCGTAATACCAAGTTTGGTACATGTGAAGCTAGCGAAACGTCCGCGAGCGCATCATGAGCGTAGCATGTAGTCATGTTGTTACATGACACGTATCTCATGCTTAACATGTTTGCACCAGTATTACACCTTCGTCATCCATTCACGTCCCGTAATACCAAATTTGATATGGTTGAAGCTAGCGAAATGGCCGCCAGCGCATCATGAGCGTGGCATGTAGTCATGTTACATGACATGCATCTCATGACTATTATGTTTGAACTAGTCACATACCATTCGTCATTTTTTCAGGTACTGTAATGCCAAATTTGGTTTATGTGGCGCTAGCAAAACGGCCTTTAGCGCGTCATGAGCGTGGCATGTCGTCTTGTTGTTACGTGACACGCATGTCATGATTTTCAAGTTAGGGTCTGTCGCTTGTGTACGCCATGCAATCATGCCATACTATACCAGTTTTGCAACATGTCTTGTGAACGAAACCACCGCAACAGCTGCAGAACCATTAAATGTATATCATGACATACATGACATACATATCAGGATTTTCATGTTATGACTGGTGAAATATATCTTTCAAACAGTCATGTTATGCCATACCAAGTTTGGGATTGATACCATTTTGGGATCGATACTATCGATACCGACTCTGGCCTCTCAACATTGTTCGAAGGAACGATAGGACAACCGTCACGAAGTGGTATAATCCGAAAAAAAAGAGACTTGGTGTTGCTTTGGACACCGCAGCGCAAGCGTAGGTTGTGTCTAAAACTTCTGTCACAACCTTTAGGCTCATTTGTTGTTTTGGAGCCACTCAGCCAGCTTACTTACGTAACAGCTGATCTTTTGTCCAATGGTCTAAGATTGAGCAAAACGCATATCACTCACATTGCTCGCCTGAAACCTTTCTACTCTCCTTGTGCATCGTAAATCGCCCTACGGGCTTAGTCTGCTTAAGTGGAATGTCACGGACATGTGAAAGGCGGAGAAAGAGAGGAAGACGAAGAGTCTGCCAAGATCGCAGTGTGCTACCGCGAATGACTATTGTTCACCTCTTGTAAATAAATCCATTTCATCACAACTCGCTGTAACAATATATAAAAAGTCGACCCAACTATCAGTATTCTACAAGGATATTCTACAGAGGTAATCTGCATGGCCACGAACGTTTGTTAGCATTCTCCTACAATAGTCACCACTACAGCGCAAGTTATACTGAATGAGAGCATACTTATTCGTACATGATATAAACGGTTTTTCAAACCATAACGTTAAAAGAAGGCCTGGTTGTCAGTTTAGTGAGCCAACCGGTAGCATGAGCAACAAGCTTTTTTTTACATTTTAAAATGTATTTGAGCATTCTCATACTGAATTCCAAAGGCAGATCACCAGTGCTCGGTCTGATGGTGGACGGAGCACGCAGGTCTGAGCGGGACTGGCCTCGCCTAATCTGCGAATAGAACGCGTGCGCCGCCACGACAGCAATCGATACGGGATACTATGATAAAAAAGTTGCGAGGTTGTGAAAGGCGGCCGCACAAAATGCGTCACGCGGACATCCGGTGGAATTCGCCGATTTCTGTGGATGAAGAGCAATCCGTATTCTGTGTTTTTTCTCGAACCTGCCATTGAAACATTGGTCTGCTTCCGCTATTCGAATTCAGCGTAACACTTGTATCAGTACTGTACTTTGATCTACTTATTTCGGTGTTCCTGCTCTTGTTCTCAGTTTGTGCTTCCTTTTTTTTTTTCAAGCTAGTTTTGCCGCTTGCAACGTATCTTAGGGCCATCTTGCGTCATCCTTGGGACAGACGTCGCATGCTTCTCCCTACAGAAGTACAAATATTTTTCACGGGAAACAGTTAAACGTGCCACAAAAGCACTAAACGAACTTAGCATGCACGGTGGTATGTCACCACTCATTTTCGTACTCACATATTTTCTGCAATCGTTGGGTTCATAAGCGGTCTTCTGTTCCTGGCTTAGGCATGAAACCTTGAAATCAGGACTGAAAAATCAATATAAATATTATCAAATATGTACTTTGGCGTTCACGGGTCATAAAATTTTTATTGAAAGTTTATGCTATTAAAAACGCCGCCTGCATCTTCCCACGGGGGGAACTCGAGATAGTGCGTCGCAGAGTGTTGTGAGTATCACGTTAATGTTGTGTTTTGGGTACGATTTGAGAATGCCTAATTGTTATTTCGTCTTTATTATTCCTATTTATTGAATGAAAGAGAAGTGTTGCCTTCAACGTCAAGTGAAACCAAGTAAAGATTCCCTTGACTGACTTCGTAACAGAGATACTGGGCCTGCTTATTGAGGTGGCCCGTGAATGGTTGCGCGGGGCGAGCAGCAGTTTTTTTTTTCTTTTTTTTACTAGCTGACGCTGCTTACTTCGGCCTTGCCAAGCGAGAAAGGGGGATGGAACCTCAGTTTTGCGGGTGTCTTTGAGCTGGCACGAGACGTGAGCATGTGGCACAAGGTGCGATCACGCCCAGTAAACTGCCAACCAATGGCATGCGTATGCTCGCGCCTACGCGTCAAAAGTGTTAAATGATCTTCTGGGCATCGGTGTCAGAGGAGCCAACACCTACTCTAGAAAGATGCCTGCGACATCACACTCATGGGGATGGGATAGATGCCTTGTAGTTCAGAGTTTGCTCCGCATGGAGCACTCGCACCTGACCCTACTACTTCCGCTAGGGTCGAAAGTGATGCCATTGCAGAGATACGACCATGCTTCCTCCAAGAGGGCAGTAGAGAATGCTTCGATCTCAGAGGCTGCAAGGTTTTCAGCGGCCGCCGCAGTGAGCACTCGCAGCTGACACTGTTTAGAATTACTGTATATGCTACCTTTAAATAGCAGAGTTGCGCCAAGGTACGCCATCTTGGGTTCAAATGTCTTGCAGAAAAGCCACTCAACACCCACGTAGGAGCAGCGCTCGCGTTTATAGAGTTGCTTTAGATATTTTTTTCCTTTCTTTTCTTTCTATTTTTATGAAGGTACGAGACAAACTGAGTTGCGCTGGTCACGCATGGAAGCCTTGATTATGTGTTCACGTTTTTGGTAATAATATAGAACGTGCGTCACCTAATTGAATCAGTGGCACATATATTTATAGTAGGCTACACGTTAGCTTCAGCTTCTTTTGCACTGTTTTCCCATTTACGTGTATAAAATTATTTTTCACTCTTCATCGCTATTGAGCCAAGGGTAGAATTTTTGCACGTGTTGAACTCATTCGTTAACTGTGTGAGTTAACCAGCTAAAGCTTTTGTAGTCTTCAACTGAATCGACCTGAATAGCGATCGAGAATGACCATGCGACGCCCAGGTTAAGCGCGCATCTCGCATTAGGATCGTATTACAATCGCGGCTCACCACAACTGATGCGAATCATCGTTCAACAAGCCTGTCGTGTCCAACATTCTTTTCGCCTAAGGTTTCAAAGCTGCATTTAATTCATGCACTAGCAGCAACACCTTGCCGATTCAAATGGTTCTAGTTTAAATTCTGCCTTTATTCTTAGCGTTTTAACCACCTGACTAATTTGTGCGTATGCAGCTGACACACGCTGCCCTACTCTGAATGTATAACGTATTCACTACTGCAGCGGTGGGTAATACAAATAGAGCAAGTTTTGCAGTGCCGGGGACAGAACAATAAAAAAAGCCAAGCGCATGGGCATCAGCAGAGAAGTGGAAAAGAAGCCCTTGCACCCCCTTCGAGCCACAACACCACTTGCCCTCACCCAAGCTAGACCAGTGCTCTCGCTCTCCCTAAGCCACAATACAACAAGGGTTTGCACCCCCAAGAGAAAATCCTGACGACGACAATGGCCAAGCGTTTATTCCTTTCGACTGAACATTACTCTTTCTTAGCAATCTACCTGTCATAATTTAGAGTGCTTGCCAAATGTGCTCCACCTTATTCTTATTCTTCTACTTATTTCAATCTCGTGGTTCGGCTGCGCGGTTATTACCTGCCCTAAGTAGACAGTTTTTTTACAACCTGAAGAGCACTATTACTTATCTCGAAGCGCAGCTCTCTTCTTCGGTTGTTGTACATTACTTTCGTTTTCTGCAAATTGATTTAAAGACCCACCTTTCGGCTCTCCTTGTCTAACTCCGTAATCATGAGCGGCAATTCGCCCCCAGGGTTACTCAGCAATGCAACGTCATCAGCGAAGCGCAGGTTATCAAGGGACTCTCCATTAATTTTTATCCCTAACTGTTCCCATTCTAGGCATCTGAAAACCTCCTGTGAGCACACGGTAAATAGCAACGGGGAGATTGTATCCCCCTGCCTTACACCCTTCTTGATTGGTATTCTGTTGCTTTCTTTATGAAGCACTATGGTAGCAGTTGATCCCCTGTATATTTCTTCCAAGATGTTTACATATGCTTCGTCGATGCCCAGATACCGCAGTGTCTGCATGACTGCTGATATTTCTACTGAAGCAAACGCCTTCTCGTAATCTATGAAGGCTATGTATAGTGGTTGGCTATATTCCAAGCGTCTCTCTATTACCTGATTGATGGTGTGCATGTGGTCGATTGTTCAGTAGCCTGTTCAAAATCCAGCTTGTTCCTTTGGTTGATTGAATTCGAATGTTTTCTTAACTCTGTTGCAATTGCCTTTGTAAATAGCTTGTATGCTGCGGAAAGCAAGCTGATCGGCCAGTAATTCTTCAAGTCCTTGTCATCTCCTTTCTTTTGTGTTATGATGATGTTAGTATTCTTCCAAGACTCTGGTACTCTTCCCGTCAGAAAACGCCTCATAAACAGACTGGCTAGTTTTTCTAACCCAATGTGTCCTCCATCTTTCAGCAGATTTGATGTTACCTGATCTATACCAGCAGCTTTGCCTTTTTGCCTGCTCTCCAAGGCCTTTCTGACTTCGTCTATCAGTACTGGTGGGGTGTCATCCGGGTTTTTGCTAGTTCTTATGATATTAGGGTCGGGGTTGTCCCGGCTACTGTACAGATCTGTATAAAACTCCTTCGCTATTTTAACTATCCTATCGATATTGATAGTTATTTTGCCTTCCTTGTTCCTTAGTGCATACGTCCGATTTTCCCTGTCCCAAGTTTCTGCTTCACTGCTTTGACGCTTCCTCCGTTTTTCAGAGCATGTTCAATTCTCTCCATGATATAACTTCTTAGATCGTATACCTTACGCTTAATAATAAGCGTCGAAAGCTCCACCAGTTCTCTTTTGTCTGTTGTACTTGAGACTTTAATGCTTTGACACTCCCTAATGAGTTTCTTTGTTTGCTGGGAAAGCTTGCCAGTGTCTTGTCTAACTACCGTGCCTCCAACTTTCACTGCACACTTCGTAATGATACTCGTGACATTATCATTTATTGTATCTCCGCTAAGGTTGGTTTCCTCAATAAGAGTCGAGTACCTGTTCTGAAGCGAAACTCTGAATTTCTGTACATTCGCTTTCAGTGCTAGCTCATTGATTGGCTTCTTGCGTATCAATTCTCTGTCGTTCCTTTTTAGGTCGAGGCAAATTCGAGACCGTACCATTCTATGGTCACTGCATCTTACCTTTCCAACCACTTTCACATCCTGCACTATGCCTGGATGTGCAGTCAATAAAAGTCTATTTCGTTTTTATTTTTACCATTAGGGCTCCTCCATGTCCCCTTACGGTTTCCTCGTTTTTGGTAGAAGGTATTGAACGGGTTTGTATCCCGGCTGCGGTGGCTGCATTTCCGATGGATGCGGAAATGTTGTAGGGCCCGTGTGCTCAGATATGGGTGCACTTTAAAGAACCCCAGGAGGTCGAAATTTCCGGAGCCCTCCACTACAGCGTCTCTCATAATCATATGGTGGTTTGAGGACGTTAAACCCCACATATCAATCAATCAGGAATGCATAAGTAATTCTAGGGACCGTAGCGCTCATCACGCTGCGCTGACCATGCTACGCATGCACGGAAAGGCAAGTGTTTCCGACGCTTTGCTAAGAGGACAGGGGGGTGGCCCCTATACATCGCCTTGCGTTCCACAGCTTATCACCTCACGCCCGTTTCAGAGTTGATAAGGCGTGCGCGCCCGTCTCAGGGCCACGCGCTTTGTTTTGCAAACAAAACTGCCAGATAGCGCTCATGTCTCACGTGTGACGTGACTTGATGCGCTCGTTCGCCTCCGCTGCACGCTCGAGGCACTCTAACGCAGCTCCTCCGGAATACTATTCACCGATGTTCTTGCGCAGAACATCAAATAAATGTTTTGTTCATTCTCTCCACGCGCAAGACTATCGTATTTCGACGACATTTGTAGATTAAATGCAGAACGGGGCCAATTGTTTTCACCACGCGTACAGCGGCGTCAACCAACCGGAAGCCAGAGTACCTTCGACTGCTATGCCTAATCGCCGTCTCGTCGAAGGTACCACCGAGTGCCGAGCCCGAACACTACTACTCACTACTGTCCACATGTTCCTGAAGGACGGCGTCCTCTTTCAGAAGGACAACGACGCGGTGAACGACTGCGAGTGCTTCCAGTGGGATGTAAATTCGTGCACACCGAGTTCGAGTGACGCCGACAAATCCGGCGAATGCCGGCCGGCGGCGCTTGCGCCGGTCGTGAGTGCCGACAACAAGGAATATTTGCAGAGATTGATGGACATCTGCGGTAATGAGGGTGATAGCTTATATTTCAGATTGAGTAAGGAAAAATCAGCAGTCATAATTTTTAATGACAATGAAGGTAGCGAGCTTAGAATACAGGAGGTCACGCTGGAGATAACAGATAAATACAAATACCTGGGCGTATGGATAAGCAATGGGACCGAGTACTTAAGGGAACACGAAATATACGTGAAGACTAAAGGTAACAGGAATGCAGCTGTGATGAAAAACAGGGCACTGTGGAATTACAATAGGTATGATGTTGTGAGAGGAATATGAAAAGGGGTCATGGTTCTTGGTATGACGTTCGGCAATGCAGTCTTGTGCATGAGATCAGAAGATCAAGCAAGATTACAAATTAGG